CATGATATAAATTATTCAACAATTGTGAAGACATATCTCTTTATTCATTTTAGATCTTTAGTTTTGAATTTTCAATTAGAATCATTATACATTTTTAGTATTGTCAGGTAACTAGTATAGTGTATTCTATAATTCAAGATATATCTTGAATATTTGAGCATCATTTTTACTTCCTTCCAATGATTCCCTCTTCTATTATTTATAAATCTACTCAGTTTACTAACCAATAAGCAATATTAGGCTTTGTACAACTCATAACATATATTAGGCTTCCAATTATCCCAATAAGCAATATTAGGCTTTGTGCAGCTCATAACATATATTAGGCTTCCAATTATCCAAGAATATTCCAATTGGTTTATTCATTTTCCTTTTTTTATATATACATTTATATCAATTAGAGTTCTGATAGTACTATTTTAGTTAAAAAATCATAACTAAATATTTTAGTTATTTTTTTATCTCTTACTCATTCTAAGCTCAGCTTTATCATCTTTTGATTGATTATGACTACTTGAGTTAGCCTCAATTGTTATTTCAAATGAATGACTTTCTCATATTTTTTATTTATTTCATAATAATATTAGGATGAGTATTCTAAATACTTAACTTGTGTAAAAGAGATCGATATACACTATTATTGTATGCACCACCAGAAAATCAGCGAAAACCAATGAAATCAGAAACAAAAATTTTTTGTCAGTCACTTTTACCAATGGAAATAATTTCATCTCTAATTTTGTTAGTATATACCGACAGACCATTTCCATCTTCAATATGGTCAATATATACCAACGAACATATTCTATCGGTATATACTGAATGTATTGCCGATGAATTATATAGATTTTAAAAAAGTTGCAACAGCATGATGACATAGATTTTTTCATATGGTTTTATCGATGGAATGACTGAGGGATTCAAACTCGGATCTCCGTACAATGATGTGGCACAGTCACCGGCAGACTTATTGACGGGTATACCAATGAAAGGTTTCGTCGGTGATTCCATCGGTAAAAGCCAATATATACCAACTCTGTCAACTCTCTCTTCCTCTATTTCTTCTTTTTCTTTTCCTTCTTCTTCCTCATCTCAACTCTACCCTCCTAAAATGCAACCAACTACCCATCCCCACTTTCCTCTTCTTCTTAACACAAGCACTCAAGTTTCTTATACTTTTGTACATGGTCACAACATCTGTTCTCCAAGCAATTTATTGTGAATTTTATCATTTTTTGTAAGTAAATCTATCCTTTTTAGTTTTAACATTTAAACATTTCAAGAAAGTTATATTTGCTTTTAAACAAATAGGTATAACAATATCTTGTGTAGTCATCTATAAAATTAAAATAATATTTTTTCCTCACCTCTAGTTTGCATAAAGTTTAAATGACCAATATTCAAATAAATTAAACATATAGGTTTACTACTTCTTTCCATTGAATGAAACTTAGTTTTTTTTTTTATGAATTTTGATTCTACACAAACCACACATTTATTATTTTTCTAAAAAATCATTATTGGTAATAAATCAAAATTTAGAAACCTTTGTATAGATTTATAGTTTACGTGGCCTAATTTGTCATGCCACATGTCATTAGACTCAAACAAGTTTGAAGAAAAGGCATTATTATTACTCTTCTCATCCATAACTTGTGTCATTATCCATATATATATATATATATTACAAAAATAAACATGTCTTTTTAGTAAATTTAGTTCATTTTCATTATTTTTGCATTAAAAGAATTATGAAAATCATTAAAGAATACAAAAAAAATCTAAAATAAAAAAATAATAAATAAAATAAAATATATAAGAATACAAAACAAATCTAAAAGAAAAAATAATAAATAAAATAAAATATATAATTCAAGTTGAAATTTGACCAATAATTAAGCATCACCGGAAAAAATAAAGCTTAAGCATTTTTGGGTCATAATTAAGGGTTAAATTGAAGAAATAGCTTAAATTAGCTTAATTTGGCTAAAATTAAAAGGAATTGGAAGTTTAACGAAGAGTTTGAAATAAATAGCCAAGTTAGAAAATCAATTAAGGGCTTAATTGAGAAAATTTAAAATTAAATGTCAATTAGCTTAAAAATAAAGAATTAAAGAACCAAGGACTAAAATAAAAGAAATAAAAAAATCAAAGGGGATGTTCTGATTTAATCAAGGATAAGTCTGAAATAAATTAAGAGAAAAATAAGAAAATTGATAAAAATAAGAAAATTCAAAATCCAAGGATTGTAATGTAAAGGAAAAGATATTCTAAGATTTAATCTTTGTCTTATATTGTTCTTTCAAATCAGTCCAATTCAATCCACTTGATTCAATTTAGTGAATTGGATCCTTGATTTTTATATCTTGTTAATTCAATTAAATCCAACTGAATCAAGCAATTAAGCCTAGGATCACAATCCCTTAATTTTAGTTTTTCAAATTGTAGACATTCAAAGAAGATCCCAACTTCAATCTCAAAATCCCTCAATCATAACCTAATTTATTTTTCAATCTAATCTCCATTAATGAAGGCTCTAAATAATTAACCAATCAAAACTTCAGCATTTTCTCTCCATAAGAAAACAAGAAAATTCACAAGGAAAAAAAAACATTAGCATAACATTGGGAGATGGAAACACTATAGGCAATAGCCTAGATAGACACTTGTTGATTTTTCTCTTACCAACACTTTTTAATTTTCCATGTCATTCATTAGCTTCCTTTCTCATAGTTCAAAAAGACTATTATCGATCAATTCTTTAACAACAGTGATTTCTCTTTTGCATAAGCCACCGTCTCAAAGTCCATCCACTACCAGCAGCACCTATAATCTCCTAAAAAATAGACTACCTCACCCGGCCATAAAAAGACCAACCAGACCCATTAACCTAAACACAATCAACCACCACACCAAATTGCTTTAAACCATCCTTCATGTTTTGATGCAAATTACGATATTTAGTTGTGGTTGGAGGTTGAAGCTACTATGGACCCAATAGATATTAGGTTTTTGGTATGTCTATAACTATAGCCGAGATATGTAAATGAATTGTATTTATTTTTACTTTAGCATCCTATATTTTGGCCCCAACCAGCCATCATCAACCATTCACAAGAAGATCCAAGAACTCATTGATAAACAACTGTTTGTTCTAAAGGTTGATTTGGAGACAAAGTACGAAGAACAAAGTAAAGAGCAATGGAAGCAAATACAAGCATACTTGTTCTCCCCCTCTTGGAGATCCTAAACCTCTCGGATTGGGATTTTTTCCTCCCTTCCACCTCCAAATATATTTTAATAGGAATTTTTTATTATAATTAAAATATTTGTATTAAATGTTAAATTAATATTTTTATTATTCAAATTTGTTGTCATTTTTTTTGGTGATTTTAGGTTGAAAAAATGCAATTATGGTTATAATAGATTAATATAAAAAAAACAATAAAATATCAATAGAGTCACCAATAGATATAAAAAATTTTATTAGTGAATCCATTAGAAATATCCAAACCAATCTTATCAGAGAATTATAAATTTTTATGACTTTCTAGACTCGTAGATGGAATCCACAATGGATGTTATATCGATAATTTTATCAGGGATGCAGTTGGCAATATTCAATTCATAGCCAATGATATCATCAACATAATGTTTTATTAGTATTTATTGAAAAGGACTTTCCGTTGACAAGATTTAATTTGATTTGATTTGATTAATTATTTTAATAGGATTTTTTTATTCAAATCCAAAAGTTGAGGTATTGAAAATGCTTTAATCCTTAAGTTAGGGTAGTTTTTAATGATATAAATGATAAATATATTTCACGATAAAAATATTAGGAATTTAATTGAAGCCACTAGAAAAAAATACTTGCCCCCCAAACTTAGGATTAAATTAAAATTAATCTTTTTATCAGTTATGTCATAGATGAAGGATATAAAATATTGAATAATTTAGAGTTCAAATTAATATTTTGAACTTGCAAGGTTCAAAATGAGGTGGGATATTCAGAGGACCAGCTTGCCTTTTACCCCAGAAAATTATCAGAAGAGGAAGGAAGCAGAGAGCATAACAAAAACTGTTGCATGATAAGTGTGTGTGTGTGTGCGTGTGGCTTGAACTGCCTCTCTGCCACTCTGACAACCATGGAGTGGTATCCTGTTGAATTAGATTAAAATTCCAATGATGTCAAAGCCCTGTCCTCTTTTCTTCGGTCCCAGATGGTGGGACTCGCAAAATATTTGCTTAGGATTTTGAATATGGGCTTGCTCAAAGGCTATCCAGCGATACAAAGGTCAAAATATACTGTAAATTAACTTTACAGATGCTGGTGGCACCATCTATTAATCATCATCATCATCTTTGAGAGAACAAAATGCGTAAGGACATGCCCCAGCTAGCAAGCCCACTTGTTAGTGAAAGCTAGATAGAAGTGCCTTATTAATTATTCAACGGTGGAAAGTTTTGTGGGGACATCCACCTCAAAGTCACTTTGATTACGGGGAATGTACACCATGGGTATGACCTCCATCGAAGCCGATGGGCAAGCTATAGGACTCTACCCTCGACCCGCATATTTCAGAAAGGAAACAAGGAGTTTCCTTCATCAATGATCTCGATCGAGTCATGATCTAATATCAATAATCAGCACATAATTTCAGGTTGAACCTTGCACTGCCTTTTCCATTGCATCACTTGATAATAGGGTCCAGCAAGCCGGTAACACAGAGGAGGAATATATGTATATTTTGCTTGGTAAATCCCTGGATTTATGGACGAAAAATGGCTGGCTACTTTTCATCAAAAAAAGAGGACACACGAGTGGTTGGAAAATCGGAATCAATTGTAATTAACACAACTAGTTAATTAATTAATTAACCCAACATTATTTATTATATGCAGTTGAGCCCAGCTAAATCGGCCGTTTTTAAATCCGCGAATTGGAACATGTTTAGCTCTTACAGCACAATAGAATTGTTTATGGATGCCGTTGTGACATTATGTATTCTCTCGAATAACAATAGTTTATGCTCTAGAAATAAAAGGAATTAATACTCCTATTACATTTATTGCTTTATGCCCACTTATTGAGAATGATGCAAGCATCATGTCACACACAAGAACACTTGGTGTTAATTTGAAGAACAATTTGAGCTCCATTTACTTTTTCCTTCATTGAAGATTGAAAGGCAGGAACAATTCAACAAGATGATGGGCAGTGACTCCAATTGTAGTGTAATAATCATCATATATATCTCAATCATTCTCCGAATCTGATTGGTACAATGCACAGTAGAAGTGGGATCTCTCTCCATCAACAACGGCAAAATTGAACTTACAGAACATTTGCTTGCACCTCTTAAGAGCTTGTGATCTCCCAAGATAGCAAAACTATAGCTTCCATGAATTGCCTCTGTGGCTCTTGAAGACCAAACTTCAATGAAGTTCAGAGCAACTACATACAGCCTTAAAATATATGATGATACAAATTAAAATCCCACCACGGATGTTCTGGATGATCATCTTGTCTCCACAATTTCCAAACTTGACTCCCCAGCTTTTGCATTATTATTGTTTTTCTCTATATGCCTCTATATCCACTAGAAAGAAGAAAATTGAAAGAAAATAAAATTTGAATGAGAAGAAAGTTTCCGATGAGCCCTAATGAAAATTAAAAGAACCTCTAAAATGAATCAGAAGGAGAAAAAAGTAAACAAGAATTTGATATAGCTTGACATGAGCCGGACTCTTTTATTTATACATCATATGGTAACTCTGATATGCTTTCTAAATGGGGTCTCCACACACCAACACGGCCTCTTCTTCGATCTCTCTGGGTTGATATCTTTTCCGATAGAATCTCACTCAAATACTGATCAGAAATGAGAAGGTTTGTTGTCATTGAAATGGAGTCGGTACCGTGATGGGTCGAGTTGTTGCTTTCACTTCTGTTATTATTGCTCATCTCTCTTCTTTTCTTTCTCGTACCGGAACCTCTTGATGATCGAGAACTCTTGGCTTCTTGTGTTGGTGGAGCTGGCATCAAAAAGTAAATCTTTCCACGTTGTAGCTCTGCATCTGGTGGGACTATAACAATCTTTGGAACAACACCATCATCGGATGGTGCAGATGGCTTTTTCAAGATATGTTTTGGATATGCTTTCATGATCTCACAAGCTCGTACTGTTCCACTGATCTCTTCTACACGACCATTAGAGTGTACTATTCTGATTACATCAAGTGCTCCGCATGGTAGAATGCAAGAGATACAACACCTTATGGTGTTCTTCATGGCTAGTACTTTCTGTGTGATTCTACCACTCTCTGTCTCTCGCTACGAGTCTTTCATATTTGAGAGAGAGTATAAGAAAGGAGAGCTCTGTAGAGATTGAGGGGGATCACTATATGAAGAGAAAGAGAAAGGGAAAGGGAAAGAGAAAGGGAAGGGTCTTTTTATTCTCTTTGTTATCTAACACAAAAACAGTGAGAATCGGTCACTTAAAACTGGATTTTCTACAAATGATGTTTTTTTTTTTTAATTTTATTTCATTAGTCTCTTTTCTCACTTGCTTAGGATGAAATTCATGGCTTTAATAATTGCACCTCACTCTGTACTTTGCCTTTTGGATCCATCATACGGGGACCCTCCCATTCCCCCCCTTGCATTCACCAAGTTCGATAATTTTCAGTTCGGCTTGCAAGGCTGGGGGGGCTCATGGGTAAGGGCAACGCATGTTAGTACATGATCGGGACTGCCGAGTAAGCTACGACAAGACAGACCCTTCTGCGGAGGGGTGATCCAAGACATGCGTGTCAATCAAGATTTGAAATTTGGCAAGATACAACTCAACTAGCCACAAGATTAGGTGGAGAGACTGCTAGGTGGGGTCGTTTTGGGAGAGAGTGGCAAGGCTCGGAGTGAGTTGGGTATTGGGTGAGTTAGGGCTTAGAGAAATCTTCTTTTGAGAAAAGGGGCTGTGGTCTTTCTGCATCCCAAAACGAGATCATGTGGATTGTGGCTTTCATTGAAAAGTGAGGTTGTGGTGGACTTCTTTTTTACTCTATTTCTACAGTAGATTTTTAGTTTTGAGAAGTGCTCCGACCAAAGAGATGGTAAATTGTCTACTTGCCCTGGTGTCGAAGGACAATTCACCCCGCTATGAGGCGCATACCTGATCTTAGCTTTTTATAATCCTGTTGCTTGGTTATGTTTGTTCATGTACTGTTAAAAAAACAGTGTGATTGTTTGGATTCTTTTGCTCGTGGTGGTCAAGACTTTAAGTAGAACAATAAGATTCAAAATTCCCATCACGACAAGTGAGAAGATTTCTCACAATGATCCTCTCGAGAGTGATTTTCATTACTATACGAATGATTTGATCGATCCATAATTTCACATTGACCAATCTATTTTTGAGCCCAAGTTGTGATTCCCTACAAGAAAAAACTAGTTAAAACTATTTAAATAGCAATAATTACTTTTTAAAATATTATTTATTTTAAAATATATTAAAATAATATTTTTTATTTTAAAATTTTATTTTTAATATCAACGTAATAAAATAATTTCAAAAAATATTTCAAAAACTTCAAAAATATTTCAGTACCACACAAAAACAAGGACTTCAAGTGCGTCCCATCTGACTGAAGTGTGGCCCATCCATTAAATGGTTTGGATGTAGATGTTAGTGGGCAACATGTGAAGTATGGAGAAAGGTCCATTTTGGAGGTGGTTTTGATGTTGTGACCATCTTTTCTCAACTTGCATCACAAAATCCAGCAACTATCAATGCTAAATTAACTCGTCCAAAAACACTAATTGCGAAACAATTAATTAACGCGCAGGTGGAACCGGCCGCTCAGACTAATTTCAGATTTCCGAATGTGGGGTCATCTGAAAATAGACGTCCATGTAGCAGATATTTTTTTATTTAAAAATATATTAAAATAATTATTTTTAGATATTTTTACAAAAAGAAAAACACTAAAAACAAAAATCAATTTGATATTTTTAAAGATAAATGCATTTTTTATATAACTGGCATGGGCCATAGCAAATGCCAAGTGAGAATTAATTTGACTGCGAATGCCCACTAAGGGTACTTTATTTTTATTTATTTTTAATCTATGAGTCCACCTTCTGCCGGGGAAAAGGCCAGAAAAGGGGAAACGAGGTACCAAAACTATCGATTATCAAGAACTGAAAAATAGTTCGAATGTTATAAATGAGGCTGTCCAGGAAGGCTCCAAAACTAGCCAGCTTGAATTCAGCTACTTCTAAATCTGCGGGATTGTGTCCATTTCCCCCGGGGGAAGGCCTTCAGGGGGTCATAAAATCTGTTTGGAAAAAGCCGATTTTTATGGCGAACCCTTTTATATCTAAGTTTGTGAGCTTAATTCTTGATACTCTCACCTTCCTTCTATCAGATTTTAGGGCAAGGAATTCATGCGCACTGCATGTGAAAGAGTAAACGTGTAAGATTCATTCTTTTTATAATATAGTTCTCCCGTACCTGCAGCCCGCTTTCTTCTTTTTATTCCCACTAAAAATTGGAAGGCCTTGAAATCAAGCGTGATGGAGAGGATAGTTATAATTATTTTTTAAAATATTTTTTATTAAAAGAATATTTTTTTTTATTTTTAATATTAATATATTAAAATGATATGAAAATATTAAAAAAATTAATTTTAAAAAAATAAAAAAAACTAGATATTAGAAGGAAAAGGATAGTTATATCCACTTTATATTTTATTATTTTAGCTTTTAGATCTCGTTTGGCCAATACCAAAAAGAAAATGAAATATACATATAAAATTTTTATATATGTTTTGTTGTTGAGATAAAGATGAATATGTATAAAAAAATTATCTTTAAAATAATTTTAAAATAAATTTTTATCTTTTCAAATTAAAAAATATATAAAAATATATTTTCTCTGTCAATTTAGTCTATTTTATTCCAGAAAATTACTAAATAATATCTTAATGATGAAAAGTTTCTCTCCCAATTAAAAAAGCCATTGACAATCTTGATTTTTTTTCCCAGCTTAAAAGTAAGTTGTATTGTGGGTTTATGGTTGTAGTTTAGCTTTATTTAAAAAAAATATCACTCTAAGAATTAGACTTTAATCTACTTAGGTTTAATTTTATTTTAAAAAAAATTATTTAAAAAAAAATAAAGGTTAAAGAGCACAAGAAAAAAAGAGCATAAATTGGAAGGGCATGTGTCACATGCTTGGCTAAAAAAAAAAAAGCCTAGCCTTGTGTGGGCTAGGAAAGCTAGATTTATGCGTTTATATTTTTTATTTTTTGTGATTTTAAACGGATAAATTGCACGTATTTGCTTTTTATATTTTTTATTTTTTATAATTTTAAATGGAAGAACAACACATGTTAAAATACCTTAAAACAATACTCAAAACTTAAAATTAAATTGAATAAAATATGTTCAAACTTTCATCTACTATTTATAACAAGATTAGAGTTCTCAATTATCTTTATGAAATTTTTATTTTTAAAATGAATCTAATACTACCAAGATTAAGTTTTTCTAGTGGCTTGGATGTTGTTGGCCTCAAACTTTTTCTCTGTTTTTTTTTTTGATGACATCCTCTCTCATCTTAAAAGACTTGATAAAAAAATATAATGAAATGAAGTTATGGATTCAATTGTAAATCTATAAAAATACAAGGATCAAAGTGGTAAAAATCTTGAACATTACAAACTAAATTTGTTAAAATTACTATTTCCTTGCAGTGATGTCCATAATAATTATGGTTTTAGGTGAACAATTAAAAAAATTATTTTCTTTTAGTATATACTACTAGTCCTATAACTCGCATCATGTTACTAATCCTACGAGATTCAATAAATTCATTTCCAACTCTAAAACACTCAGTAATCACTTTAAAATAAATGAATAAAAAAAGCTTTATGGACCTCAATATAATTTTTTTCAATACAAATAGAGAGCAACAATACCTTTATTGAACTTTTCTAAAAAGATGAATTCATTGATATTAATATATACTTTTTTGGTAGTTGAAGTGTGGCTATATGAGCATTTACTTTTTCCTCGACATTTCTCAATAATGTTCTTTCTTCTCTTTCAATAACCAATACTAAAATAGAAAAAAACATAAATTTGGATCAAAATATAAAGTATTAAAATAAAAGGGACCAATAAATACACAAATTAAAACTTCATTAAGTAACACCAAAATCTAAATGCGGTCTATTTTGATTTATTTTTGTTCTCCTTCTATATTACAAAATCGATCTTTAATTCTTTGTTGGAATATTTCTCAACACTTTATATATATAAAAAAGTATGCAAATTGAAAGAAGTTTAAATACATAACACCATGCTAATGTAACTTAGGATGATAAAATTGCAAAATCAAATCTTGATGATCTAAATAACAAAAAAAGAAAATATGTAATGCTCATATGAACAATGTAATCTATAGTATATATGAGTTTGGACGTGCAATGAACTTTATTGATTCGTTTCCATAACATTTTTAGTATATAGGATAATACTATATTTTACGCATATATGATGCCGCTAGGTAATTTTTGAAATTATTTTTATATATAATTATAAGAGGATTAATACAAATATAATTTGAAAGATTTAAATATAGAGGAGAAAATGTATTTCTTAAGTCCAAGACCACATTTCTTATTTATGTATCTTTTTTTTATATAACGTAATTTTGATTAACAATGTCATTTTTTAAATAAAAATCTAAGAAATATTCATAAGAATCTCCAAGGACTCTAAACACTTGATGAGCTCATCAATGAGCTTAAACAACCTAAAACACCTACATAAAAATCCAAAATCAACTTGAAATAAAAAATATTTTAAATCTTAATTTTTTTTTAAGTTGAAAAAACACCTAAGTGAAACTCTCGTCGCTAAATAGAACCCATTGATACCAATATTAACCATTTTAGTGGGTGAAATTATCATTAATAGCGATTTTCTTCCTCCATCACCACAATCTGACTACTCTCTCTCTCTTATGTCAAACCAAGGACTTAAAAATAAAAAAAAATAAAGATTCAAACTAAAATTGATTTTTCAAAAATTAAAAGGACACGATATTTATAATTCAAAAGGTATGAGGATTATATTGAATATCTAGCTCAAAGTTTGAAAAACGCTCATTTCCTTTATGTTTTTCACTTTGACACCCTATATTTCAATCTTATCATCTCCAAAAAAAAAAGTAGCCTAAATTGACCTATAAATTGGTCCAATAAGGGCTTTATAAAAACAAATAATAAAAAAAAAAAAACATTATATACAATGAGTTCATAATATTATGTGAGAAAATCCATAGGGTATTTTGCATAATGAACATATTTTAGATTTTTCATACTAGTTATTAGACCTGTATTTTGCCATAAGTAGGATAATTTTTTCTCCCAACACA